GGTCTGACTATATTGCTTAAGCTGACCTCAAACTTCTGAGCTCAAGTGATCCTCCCGCCTCAGCCTCCCAAAGTGTTAGTTTTACAGGTGTGAGCCACCACACCTGGCCTGAATTAAAAATTGTAAAACATAGATTTTTAGCCAACATATCTACTTGGTATACACAGAAATTTCAACAAGCAGGAAAATACATTCAGGATGAGTTCACATTTCAAATTCTTGCAAATTTTAACTAATTCAAAAAGAAACTAGAAAACATACAGAAAGAGTGAAAAAGGAATAAGAGAGGACCTTACTGTGCACTAAAAGGAACACATACTCAATAAAATGAAATATGCCTTCAATCAATGAAGGATGAAAAAATAAAGCTAATTCAGCCAGTCCATATTTGAAAGGTTTCATTATACAAGTTAATATTCTAGTGAAACAAGTTTATCTGACATCGAAACATCACCAGACCTTTATAGTAGTTGCCCTCAAATTTTTTATTCTTACAGAGATATTTCATTCCAATCAAAGACTAGGCCTCATGATAGGACAGACTCTACAGTGAGGGATGGGGTTATACCTTATGTTCCCCAACTGAGACATGACGTTCCTCTCTCCATCCCCTACAACCCCATTTTAACCCCCTGGGTTGAGAATCACTATATGAAAGTCAAATACTCAATAAAATTCATTTGCAACTTAAACAATAAATCATTCAAGATACTAATAGAATTACTAAGCTTATCACACCAAATCACTCCTTTGCATACTTACAATGTAGTATTGTGGAAGGCGGGTAAGTTTAATGAACAGCTTATTCTTAGAAAGGTTTCCAATAGGATGAGTTGAGTAATTGGAAAGCTGCAATGTTTCACTGCATATCGTAGGCAAATGTTTTATAGACTGCTTGCAACGCTGTTGTCCAAGCCAAAACCTGAATTTAAAAGTTATAATCCACATAAAATCATAGATTTTTCATCTGTGTGCTATTGATTTATAAGTGATTAGAGACCATTTAAAAAACAATTAATTGAAATTTAACTAATTAAAGGACACATGACCATAATGACAAATCATTTCTTCATAGTTTTGCATTAGACTGTCAATTCCAGTTTTAATTTAAGAAGTTTAAACTGCAATGTGAATGATCTTAGTCACAAGGTAGAATTAACGATGAGGATGAGATACTATGTTAGTTGATTATAAGGAATGACAGATTTCCTATAAAGACAGTACCAACTAATCTCAACATTCTTTATATAGCCCCAGTTTTTAAACTGTGTATATGTGAAGTGTGTAGTATACCTAGCAGGTGCCAGTAGTATTAACTTTGCTCCCATGTCCCTTTCAGGTAAGCTGCCAGATTTCGCTGATGTTTTTAATATAGTACTCCTCTCATTCCTTTTATTTGATTATCTATCCTTGAAGCTAGGATACCATATAATATGTAAAAAAGGGATAAAATGGCTGGTTCACAAACTCCATTGATACATAATTAAAACTACAGAAAATAAGAATTTTCACAGCAGTGTATCAATGCCACAACATCCCAGCTCAAGATCAGCAGACTTGCCTTGATGAATTAGGGCAGAGATCAATTTGGGGCTGATATATTTGTGTGGCAACTTGCATGTGGTACAAACCATATGCCAGTCATGTGCAGTAAAACCATGTTGTAATATATAACATTTTAAGGGTAGTTTGTCAACTGTTCTAGAAACCATTTCATTTTTTTCATTGAAAGACAAAATTTAACTACAACTTTACAGGATCAAATGCAAGAACTGGTTACTGATGAAGGAATGAGGATCCATTTTGAAAATATACCACCACTTGCTTCATTTTGAAAAAAAGTTAAAAATAAACATCCTGAACTTGCTAAACATTTTTTCAAATCTCTACTTCGATTCCCATCAACATATCTTCGTGAGAATGATATCTCTACTATGTATGTTATTAAAAGGAAAACATGAGAAACATCTCGATTAGCATGTTCATCAATCCAACACAGACAAGTTATTACCAACAAGAAACAAGCTCATATGTCACATTAAAAATTCTAAATACTGATATACAACGTGGTCTTTTCAAAGTCGATCTGGAGCTGCTATTTCCCTCTTCACTATTTGTTATGATTCTGTGGGACAAAAAACTTGAGTCTTAGTGACTTTCTATTTTAATTGCCTGTGTGTACACTTTCAATGAAAAATGTACACAGTTTCTATAATTTTCTTTTTTCCTATGTTATGTTTGTTCTGATCATATTTATGGAAATATAACTTTATCTGTTGATTCTAATAAAAAACATTGGGGCTTATGTCTTATACATGTTCTTTCATTTCTTTTTTCCTATAATTCATTTTTATTGCACATTATTTTAAAAGTAATCATATGAACAAACAGATGCTCAACATCATTATTTGTTAGGAAAACATAAATTAAAATCACAATGAGATACCCCTTCATATTCATTAGTATGTCTATATTCAAAGATGGTAACAATGGTTGGCAAGGATGTAGAGAAACAAAAATTCTCGCAACACTACTGATGGAGCTGTAAAATGGCACAGGCACTTTGGAAAACAGTTTGGCATTTTCCTCGAAAAGCTAAACAAATTTACTGTATGCCCTAGCAGTTCCACTCCTTGGTTCCACTCCAAGAGAAAAGAAAACATAAGTCTACATATAGACTTAAACATGAATGTTCACAGCATCAATATGCATAATAACCAAAAAGTAGAAAAAACCCAAATGTTCATCAATTGATGAATGGATAAACCAAATGTGGTATATCCATACAGTGAAATATTATTCAGTTGTAAAAAGGAATGAAGTACTGATATATGCTACAATATCGATGAATCTTGAAAACATTATGCTAAGTGAAAGAAGCCAGTCACAAAAGACAGCATGTTTTGATTCCACTTTATATGAAATGATGAGAAAAGGCAAATAGTAGATTCATAGTTTTCTGAAATTGGGAATGGTTATTAACTATAAATGAACATTTCTTTGGGGTGATGGAAATGTCTTACATGTTTTAGAGGTGGATTGTGGTGATAGTTGCAAAAGTCAGTAAATTTACTACAAATCATTGAATTGTACACTGAAAATGGGTGGATTTTTATGGCGTGTAAATTATACCTCAATAAAGTTATTTCAAAACATCAATGTCCCATGATAGATTAACTGATAAACTGGTCATTCACCACAGATCATTTGAAAAACACTATTATAAGTGACAATCAGGTGACTTTTCTTATAAATAAACTATGTAAGTTTATGTACAGGCACACATTTGGTAAGTTAAAGGCTTTTGGGACTTAACTTTCAGGTTTTAGTTTATATTTCTGGCAGCTAGAACTGCCAGATAAACAACCTCAAGTTATGCAAGACGTGAATTGTTAAGCATGTTAGGATATTTCAATCTTGCTTATTTAGCCAAAATGCACAATGATCTTAAAACAGTAATTAGGTTTAGATGAGGTCATGAGGGTAGGGGCTTCATGAAGGGATTAGTAGACTCAGAAGAAGGGATGCCAGGGAACTTGCTCTCTCAGCCATGTGAAGACACAGCAAGAAGGCGGCTGTCTATAACAAGCTAGAAAGAGAGCCCTCATCTGCTGACACCTTGATCTTGAATTTCTGGCCTCCAGAATTTTGAGAAAATAAATTTCTGTTGTTTAAGTCACCTATGATATTTTGTTATGGCAGCCTAAACTGCTAAGTTTTAGAAATCATTACCCAGATTAATGACTGATTTTTTTTCACATAACAGATAAACTAAATAGCTGCTCAAAAAAAAAAAAAAGCTTACATAAAAAAACTCACATAATATTACCTATCTACTGGCAGTACAAATTAAGCCCAGGGCCAGGCACAGTGGCTCACCTAAGGTCAGGAGTTTGAGACCAGCCTGGCCAACATGGTGAAACCCCATCTCTACTAAAAATAGAAAAAATTAGTTTAGCATGGTGGCGCATGCCTGTATCCCAGCCACTCAGGAGGCAAAGGCAGGATAATCCCTTGAACCTGGGAGGCGGAGGTTGCAGCGAGCCAAGACTGCCCCACTGCACTCCAGCCTGGGTGACAGAGTGAGACTCTATCTCAAAAAAAAAAAAAACATTGTCCTGAATACAAAAATTGGCTGGGCTTGCTGGTATGCACCTGTGTCCCAGCTACTTGGGAGGCTAAGTGGAAGAATCGCTTGAGCCTGGGAGACAGAGGTTGCAGTGAGCTGAGATCACGCTACTGCACTCCACTCCAGCCTAAGTGGCAACAAAGCAAAACCCTGACTCAAAGAAAAAAAAAAAAGTCATGCCCCATTAATGAAAACATTACTTGGTTATATTGAATTTTTCAAGTATTGGCTAAAGGGAAAAGCAGAGACTAAAGGATTATAAGAACAATAGATCCAACTTTATAGTCTTTCTTTAGGCACTCCCCGCCCCACCACTGCCTTCTCCATTTGCCAGGTTTGGTTTTAATCTCTGAATTTTTTTTTTATCCTTTGGAATTTTGTTTTATTAATTTTAAGAAAGAGTTTGTTAAAGTTGCTATAAGAGTACCTTTGTGTACCAGGGTGGTAATGAAACTCTACAGAATTATATCTAGCTCCATTTTCAACAAATGTTTAACAGTATGAAGCATTTAAAGGATTTTGAGACAAATTGAATGACAGTATTCAGGAAGCAGAAATGACTATTTTGAAAGTGTCAGCTGGTAGTCAACCATGACGATTACCCTGGATAAGAACAAATAGGACTTTATTACAGAGAACACTCAATACAATAAAATTCATTGTGTAAGTGATTTATAAAGTGCTTATATAGAAGAAAATGTGGTAAGGGATGAAAGCTGAGTGCTGTGTCCTTCACACCTATATTTGCTCTAGAGGAGAATTTGATATGAGAAACTGCCATCTTGGAACTATTCCAAGAGAATTTAGATTCTAAGGTACCAAAAGGTACTTAAGTTTCATGCCATACATCTTAAGGACAGTGACTGATCAAGAGTAATGATGGAGAAGAAAATATATGTTGTCCAAGTAAGTTTCCATTTTTAGTCTTGAGCTAAATAAATAAGCTTACTTCAGTTGCTGAATCCAGGGTATGATCCGTTTCATATCATCATTCACAGACTTCTCCATGTCATCCAGAGTGGCCTGGTCTACAGAATAAAGCACTTCATTAATTAATTGCTTACATGAGAAACAAAATCTTTATCTAGGTAGCCTAAAACAAAGAAAATTATTGTTTTAGGCAGAAAATCATGTTATTTTGAAATCAGAGAAAAACTTAACTAAATGCATCATTAGATATAAGCCAACCTAATTTGTTTTCCCTCTTTAACATTTAGGGAGCATTATAGATAAGACAACTAATTAATAGCAAGTATACACTGGCAGAAAGAACAATTAATAACTACATAAATTCATTCTTTGCCTATATTTTAATTTCCCAAACTCTTTAGTCTATTTAATCAGTATTTTAAAATAATAAGTATTTAAAATTCATAGTATTACTAGACTTAGAACCTTAAAAATCATAAAAACAAAAAACTCCACTGCAATGTTTACTTACGAAACACAAACGATCTCTGGCATATGCAAGAGCTATTGGCTGAAGATCAGCTTGCTAATTAACTCACTTAGAATTTTTAATGACACTAGAAAATGCCAGTAAATAGAATAATAAGCAAAAAAAGTAAGATACAAAATGATTTTGATTAACGGGGACAAAGTATAGAAAAAAATTAGAAAAGCACTGCTATGGAGTCAACTATGTCCCCCCCAGATCTATATGTTGAACCCCTAATCCCCAGTGTATATTATCTGGAGAAAGGGTCTTTGGGAAGCAATTAGGCTTAGATGAGGTCTTGAGGGTAGGGGCTTCATGAAGGGATTAGTAGACTTAGAAGAAGGGATGCCAGGGAACTTGCTCTCTTAGCCATGTGAAGACACAGCAAGAAGGCGGCTGTCTATAACAAGCTAGAAAGAGAGCCCTCATCTGCTGACACCTTGATCTTGAATTTCTGGCCTCCAGAATTTTGAGAAAATAAATTTCTGTTGTTTAAGTCACCTAGTCTATGATTTTTTTTTTATGGCAGCCTAAGCTGCTAAGACAAGCATACGTCCTTAAAGGACTATTTCCTGTTGCTTTTCTAATTTTTGTGTGTTTAAGTTTTAAGTTAACCGACATCAGCCAGAGGTACTGTTTCCATAACCACTTTCAACACTGCATATATCATTCCTTCTGATACCTAATAACAGAAAATGTTATTTTGTTTTTGTTTAAAATATTTTTTCTTACATTGAATGACTATATGTTTTAGTAACTTACCAAGTCCATAAAGCATCAATTGAAACATTCCAGAATGCAAATCTACAAAAATGTGCAGACACTCCGAATTACCGCAGGGCTCCAAGATGGGAACAACAAGAGCTGGGAGTGCAGTCTCTATGGAAGCTGAACAATCAACAATTAAAAATTACTTTTCTATCTGAACATTTTCCGGAAAAATTATTTCTCAATCAGTGACTACAAACCAACCAACTACTGAAGGATCCTAACTGTTAGACAAAAAACATGATTTTGCAAAATTTGCAATAGTATTATTACGTCAGTTAGTAGCTCAAAAAGCAAAGAATGTAATTTTCAAGGTGACTTGAAACAAACATGCCTGTCTCAAATATTACAGCAATAAAAATCCAAAATTTCTTAAAGAGGGTTGAAATAGCTAGTGAAAATTCAACCTCACCAGTGAGCTGAGTTCTAGTTTTACTTTTACTTGGTAATTACTAATAAGTTAATTTTTAAGGATTTTCTTTTTTATATAATGGAAAGAAAATCGATTGCTGGTAAACAGAAGAAATATCTCCTATGGCCTCATGATTTTCAATGCCATTCCTCATAAAAAAGAGGTATTCTGGCAATTAGAGCCAATGAGTTTAAAGAAACACTTGAAAACTAATAAACATTATAGATTACCCAGGAAGAAACTTTTTTTTTCAAGTCATTTGTGTACTCCATTTCAAGTCACAGATGAACTAAGAACATTGGTAATTGCTAAACACAAATCCCCAAAGCTGACAATATACTTGATCTAGAGTTTCATAGTATTTCCACCAGGCCCAATTAACTTTTCTCTTAATTCTGCAAGTGACATAATGAAATCCAGTAAACAAGCAAAACATTGAAAATACACTAAGTGCTGATCAGATTGAGGTGTTGTAAAAGGAACATGCTCTTCTTGTTACCAAGTTCCTCTGAAGCTACAGCACAGAAAAAAATTTTTTAAAAAGGTAGATACAGAGGGGAATGGTGATGCAGGTGCAGGAAGGACAGGTAACGTGGCAGGCGCAGAGGGGAGTGGTGATGCAGGCCTTTCACCAGGTGTGGCCTCTGCCTGCTACTTTGTCAAATGAGGACAATAACATCTTCCCCTCCACGCCACAGGTCGTTAGGAGCAAGAAATGACAAAGCTGTAAAAGTGCTTTAAAAAGCAAAGTGTTCAACAAATGCACATTATCTATATTGCTTTTGAATCAAAGAAACCAACCAAAATCTCTTACAAAATTTTTAAATAATTCAAATAGGTGACATTACCATTGGTACTGTATACATAAATTATCAAACAAATTAATGAAACATTGCAGAAGACATATTAGAGGAAAATAAATTGCTTTAAAGCACAGGTTGAGCATCCTAAACTCCAAAATTTGAAATGTTCCAAAATCCAAAATTTTCTGAGTACTGACATGATACTCAAAGGAAATGCTTAATGGAATATTTTGGATTTTGAATTTTCAGATTTGGGATGCTCAACTGGCAAGTATAAATGCAAATATTCCAAAACCTGAAAAAAATCCGAGATCTGAAACATTT